GGCCTGGCTCTTAGTTAGGAGAGTTGGAAAGGGACACACAATCAAAGACTATCCTTCAAATAAATCACTACATATTGAATACCACGGAAGAAGGTCTGTGTTGAATACTAACAAAGTATACACATAGATAGATATGTAATAGTCAAATTTTCTTATATATTTAGTAGCAATAGAACTGTTTGTGAAAGAGATCGTCCAGAGAAGTACTGCTACCCAGATCTATTTGTATTTTATAATAATGTGAGCATTACTGCGTTCCGGTTTTGAAGGGTGAGGGTGCTGGTGAAATTAAAAGCCCATTGGGTTTGTCAACTTATGTCTCAGGGTGACAGACGCAGTGGTAATGTACATCAGAATTTCGTCTATAGCAAAAACATTATAAGCGCCAAAAAAGGCTTAACGTCCATTGTTTAATAAAAAAATTTGTTGGTACACAATCAGTTAAGAAATTCTTTATTATATATTAAAATGCAATTGCATATCATACGCATATCATTTACGCATTACGCCATATCTTCTTGTCCAAAATACTACAGTGTCTCAAGACAAAAGTCTTCTACCAGTGTGTGTTGCCAGTGATGAGTTACGGCACTGAGAGTCGTATTCTAGAACTCTATTCAATGCTGAAGTCAGGACTTGAGTATGATTTCAGCATTGGAAATACGACCCTAATGGCAAGGACTTGAGTATGATTTCTAGTGCTGTAAAATCGTACTCAAGTACTGACTTGAGCATTGAGTAGTGTTCTGGAATAAGACCCTGAGACGTGGCAGCTCACGGCCTCATAAGAAGACTCAAGGTCACTCAAAGGGCAACGGAAAGGGTTATGCTCGGAGTTTCGTTGCGAGATCGAATCAGTAATGAGGATATCCGCAAGGGAACCAGAGGAACCGAGTTAGCTCCAAGTATTGCAAAACTTAAATGGCAATGGGCACGGCACATTGCTTGCAGAACAGATGGCTGATGGGGCCAAAGAGTTCTCAAGTGGCGACCGCGTACCGGTAGACGCGGCGTGGGCAGACCACCCATAAGGTGGACTGATGATCTGGTGAAAGCTGCGGAAATCCGCTGGATGCAAGCGGCACAGGATAGATCATTGTGTGCATTCTTTTGAGGAGGCCTATGTTCAGCAGTGGACGTCTTTTGGCTGAAATGATGGTGAATGATGCTGATCACATTTATATTATATAGAAATATTTTTTTAAAATCTGTAAAAAAAGAGTTTTTGTCGAGTGCAAATTCAAATGATCTTTATTTGAAATAATCAAATTAATTATAAACTCTACTGCTCATTCGTAAGATAGAGTCACCTTAGAAGAATGACCAAGAAACTGTAACGTAAATAACTTTTTTAAATGTACATTTAACATTTACGATATTTATTTCAAATATCTTAGATTGAGGCTGTATGATAAATAACCTTTAGTATAAAGTTTTTGTTTACTTTACTTTCAGACCTCGTAACTGACAAATTTTGAATATGAACCGGAGTCTTATTGTAGAAGCTTATGCATTGCCCCTGAAATTAATCTGTGACATTCTGAAGACGATATGTCAGGAATAGTTAGTTTACTTTTATTCCTCGTGTTAATGTTATGTCTGTCACTATTTTTAATAAAACAATATAATTCTTAGATAAATAATATTTCCGTCAATGTTCTGCGACGTAACGTAAGAATGTTAATCTCTTTAAACTTAAGTCGCTTACACTAAATCGGCGGTAATGGCTTGTCTTGGTTGCACCATCTGATCAAGGTTTTGTGTTATATAATGATTCATGTGTGTGGTAAATATCTAATAATCGGCTTGAAATCTTAGAACTAGAATGATAGTGTGTGTTAGTTCTTCTTTTTATGAACACGGTAGGCTGTAGCAGAATATCAGCGGCGTTGTGAAATACTCCGCCATTGTGCTGAGCTACAGACCTTTTTATCTCACACCACTATTGTTACCTACTAAACACTGTGTAGTACTTTTATATATTTTTTTACTTATTAATGTGTGGAGATAAATAACGATGATATGAATATTATTATTATAGTAATGCCATCAAATTTTAAGTCGATCTGACAAGTGGAAGTAATGTAATAACATTTTCATTGCACTTGCACGTAAATAGTATGATTGTACGCAGGCTAACTTGACTATAATGCCTCAAATAAAACTCTCGGTCCTTTTTCTTCTATACAGCCATGGTCTGTAATTACGTCAAGTAAATCATGTGTTATGGAGGCACTAGCTTGCGACATAGTCAGTCTATAGATAACTCAATCACAGTCCCTTGTGTTCTTCGTAACTACGCGTAATAGAATTACTCCCGCTGTTTAAGTAAATTACGCATAAAAGCGCTTGTATACCTATAATAAACATTAGTATTACAAATTTTCATGTATTTCGGACAATTAAAAAAATAATATGCTTTGAAAATGAAGCTATGTTTTCGAATTTCAATTGCGTATATTTGTATATTTCCAAACAAACCGTCGTTTTGGGCTGTACTAATTCTCTTATGCTATGTAGGTCCCTTATTCTAATATGGTTATATAATAAGCGAAGTTTACTTATCAACCACTGAAATTGCGCAATATTTGAACGGAATCACTCTGCAGTTCCTCAACTGATATGCATGAAATTTATAACAAGCACAAACTACAATTGTACAGGTCATGAACAAGCCCAAATTTTAGAAGAAGAAATGAGCTGGAAGAATTATTTTTTATTCTATTGGCAATATTTCTGGGACACGCAACCTTTGGCTGCCCTTTTTGTTCATTCGTTTTTTTATCAGGTATACAAATACTTTCAAGCAGAACAATTAGTAATAATAATTTATTGCTTTATTACTATTACTTTAAGATTTTACTAAGGATAATATTTTTATCAAGAATAATAAAAGAAAAATACTATGTTGATCATTATGAAATAGTGTTAAATTACAATTAATAATAAAAGTAAAAAATCAGTTTCTTCAGATCGATAGGGATGGATAACTGGTTAGGTCATCGGTTTGCATCCCCACCGGCGAATTTCTTTCATTCAGTTTCTGGCGTTGATCATTATCAAATGTACTCTTTGCTGTTTATGTGACATGTTCCTTATAATAGTTTTTTTAACAATAGTTAAAAAAACTGGTTGGCTTCTAGTTTATACATGAAAATCATTGACTTACAAATAAATGGACGACGGGTCTAATACAAAAACCACGAAAAAAATGTCCCAAGTCAACCTATTCGAAATTTAAATTGTTATGTCATCGCAGTATCGCACTGTCAGTAGAACAAATGAAGACTAAAGCGGAGTGTCGCGCTCTGTATACGATTTTAGCGCCTTACAAGTGCGGACACTTTTTAGCGCGGACCCGACGTTCATATAATTGTAAGTCAATGATGAAAATACATTATTTAACTCACATGTTAGCTACTGATATCGACAACGAAACTTATAAAGTTTATGGCTAATCAAGAAACATCTGAGTTAATTTTTTATGCTATGCCTTGAGTAATTTTCCACAGATTGTTGCTCTCCTCGTTTCCTCAAATCATCATTTCTCAATTAAAAACATTTTATGACACAAAGTGATTCTAAAAAGTTTTGTAAGTTATTTAACCCAAAAGTGTATTTTTTCCATTACAATTATTACTCGTAATATGAAGAGTAGAACCTGTTAATAAACGAACCAAAAAAAGTTTTATGATTTATGAGATGTCACTTTGACAGTAACAGTTGTTTGTTTACATTTTGAACTTGGATTTCATGTCAGAGTAAATACCATAGTAACGGCCACAAAAGCAAAGTTTCATGTATAGCTACATTTTTCTACATACTTGTTGTTCAATTATGCAGAAACCAATACACCCAAACTAGAAACCTAATCTTTCTGAAAATTTGTTACATTGTAGTAATCAAATTGAAATGTTACACCGTTAAGTAATCCACTAAGTCGTCAACAAAAGAAAGAACGATTTTTATCCCCCTATCTGAGAGAACCTCACGTCAAGTTTGCTACATATACACATTATAAATACACATATATGGCTGCGATTTCCGCAGTTCTCACCTAGTAACTCTCCTGACCTACTTTCAAGAGAAACGCCAATTAGGTGAGACACATCGTCGACACCCTGCCAATTTAGAATTTACAACAGGTTTCTTTCAAAGGTGCAACAAAAAACGGGGACCATTTTAAGTTAGCTTAGATGGGTGGCAAAATCTCTATGAAACAAAGTGATTTTGTTACTAACATTTTGTGAATGAAATTGTGTCTTACCATGAGAGCCTATTATTCTATGAAAAACGTATAATATCCAAAGTTTATCCATAGCTTTTAACGGAACACTAGAAGAATGAGACTTTTTATGGAGAGAAATAACAAAGTTTCCGTATTCTCGAGCGAGTTGAAGCAAATTTTTATTTTACGAGAGTCGGGAAAAGAAAATAAGTATAACGTGTTCATGTGGAACGAATGTAACTAAACAACTGACTGAATGGTTGTCTTATTTATCACTTTAAATTATTTATATCTATATTATTTATTTATTATTATATTATTTATACGCTATTATTATGGTCCTGTGGTACAGTGCAAGATAGGGGTGCATGAAAGGAGTGAGTCTCTCCGCACGACGTACCATTCCTTTCCTGTACGTCTGGCGAACCCTGGGCAAATAATTTCACCACGATGGCAAGCTTTATAGATGGTACAGTAATTCAAAAGCCTTAGTTAATGCCAAAGACGCTAATTTATATTTAATCTCTTGTGATTGCGCAGCCTTCCAGAAGCAACTTATTTTCTTAAGCTTAATTGCACAAACGTCCAGTACCTTTAACGCTTCACTATGCAATGTTCTATGTCAAGTTTTCCGTCTGTGTATATAAAATAAACTTTATTAAGGCTGTTCTTTCGTACTTTTCAAATAAAGGTTTATGCAACACGCTCTTGTTAGCAAGGTTTTAATGTTGATTGAGCGTGTCAATGATTCAAGTGTTAAGGTCCTTAGTACCTGCAAAGTCTTGTTCAGTGTAGTCATGGTGCATTTGCTTCCTAGCAGCCGGATCAGTCGGTGCCTCGTCATCGTCAGCTCTTGTCTCCATCTTCCACGGTCTGAGGGTAAAGAATAAAGTATATTAATTATGGGATGATCAGTCTAAGTAAAAAATCACAGATATTTGAAGTTTTGTGACCATAAGCAAAGAGTGTGTGCGCGGCAGTGACGTACCTTGGCCAAAAATTCATGACGTCAATGTTTATTTCTCTCGGTCTCAATATGCTATATACAAAATTTGTCTTGACTGTGACGTGGATGGCATTGGTGACGTTGATGAATTTGGTATGGTAACGTGTAAAAATCGGTCGCTCTGTAAAGATTAATATTATGGGGTCTGGTGTTCGAAATGTATCATTTTTGCTGACATTATCAGATATCTTCCATTTGGTTTGACGTATTCGGGTCAAAAGTACTCGTATTGGAAGAATTACGACGCCAGAGATAGGTATCTTTTTTCAGAATAGTGTTACGATACTAAGAATCACTTTGGCCGGCTAAGTCTTCAGGGCTTAAAGCAATAATAGACCATTATAAACGTACTCATAAAACAGTGAAATGGCTCGTTTATGTTCAAATACATAAATAAATCGGACATGAAATGCATAATAAATCTCTTCATATAAAGCACACACATTAAGCACATATATTGGGATTTAAGTACAATACTTTAGAGTTTATTGTAATAAGTTTTTTAAAGCACTCAACAACTAATTATACTATTAATTAAATTTTTATTGAATTGATATTCAATTATTTTTTGTGAAATTACTCCACTAGTTTGTTATAATTATTAATACGAATCCGACCGGATCGAAGGAATTTTTTGTGAGTGTTCGATCTTTGTATTAATAATTATAACAAACTAGTGGAGTAATTTCAAAAAAAGAATTGAATATCAATTCAATAAAAATTTAATTAATACAGTGAATAGCGACATCTCTCGCCAGGACTGGTAGCTGTAAAGGTACTAACTGGGTGATAAATCTACCATAGATTTCTCATAGATGGCGCTACGACTAAAAAGTCGTTGAAAGACCAAGTACAAAGACACGACGCAAGCACATAGAGAAATTCGTGAGGTCCGTTGGTTCGTTCCGTGGCTTAGTTGGTATAGCGTCTGTCACGGTATGCAAGAAGACGTCGGTTCGAATACGACCGGATCGAAGGAATTTTTTCTGAGTGTTTTTTCTGAGTGTTCCATTTTTGTATTAATAATTATAATTATACTATTGTTTTACTTCTTAGTTTTCTTTTTTTGATCTAGAAGTTTTTTTTCTGATCTAGAAGTCGCGCATATTGTTTTAAAAGAGGAGGTTCTCAATTCGAATGTATTTTTTGTGTTTTGTATATATGTTACGCGATTGCTCTGACATTTGTAAACTGATTTCAACGATTTATTTTTTGTCATAAAGGGGTTTCATTCAAATTTAAGCCGAGCAACGATCGCGTGCGTCTAACTGTCATGGCAAAATACGCTCTATTCGTTTAGCTTTTACGTTTTAATTTAAATGAGGCTCGAATTTGGTTGGAAAAATACGTCATGTGTTCTCTATTTAGTGATATCCTCCGATACTAAAAGAAGAAGAAATTTCTTTATAAGACCGTTACCAATTTTTAGTTGTTGTGTTTTGAGTTGTTACCAATATTTTAAGTAGGTTTTATTGCTAGCTATTAAAATTTGAAAATCTCGCGCTTAGTGGTTTCAAATTAATTTGAAATTTCTGCCATTATGAATATGTATATTCACGCCATATATTGTTGACCCCCTTTACTCAAAGGTTTACAATTACGGTTCCGAATTTTTTGAATAGAGTCGGAGTTTGTGTTCTGTGAGTAGTTTCACATTATGGGACGGAAACGACTAGCGTTCTTGTGGCTCAACTGATACTGGCGCAGATTAGTGCGCCCGGATCACAGTGTGGTCGGCGTCTGACGCCTCACTGTGCCCAAGTAACGCGCGGCGACGAGCGAGACCTCAAAGCGTTACCATATTTGCATAACACAAATTTGTACCTTAATAATGGGAAAATAGAGATGAATATTCTATCGGCGAAAAACATGACACGTCGCGACGCTTCGACTCTGCGCCAGTGTGAGTTAAGCCATAGTCACACCTTACGTAGCAAACCAGTGTAAAAAAAAAACACTACAGATAATTTGAAAGTTGCTAGAATGAAATATCGAGTTCTTAAGCTTTCGCGAATGTTACTCATTGTGCGTGAAACTATTTTTTTCAGGTTTAAATCGCGTACCTATATATGCTTCTTCAAATAAACCAACGTTTCCGGCTCTTTACAGGTCCCATAGTCGCGTTTGGCTCAGTCAGATTATTTTGTTTGAAAATACAAATACACGCGAATTAGATGCAAAAAAATATATTCATTCTCAACGCCAGGATTAGGTTTATTTCATCGTGTTGTAGTTTTCATTATATAGTATAGCATTTCGTGACCTTTGGCATTTAATTTTAAGCAATTTATAAATTTAATTAATATCGATATAATATTCTTTGATCCTGAAGGTTCACCCCACAAGGTCCTTTTGGTGTGGTAATGAAAAATTTAAGCAAGACCGCACCTCTATCGGCATCGCATAGAATTGAACCCCTGATTGGCAGTAAAGAAATTGATTACGGTTTGACACAAAAGTCAAGTTGCGTTGCCCGAGCCGAGGCGATACGATTTGATATCTTTCCTTCCTGTCCTATCTATAGACCTATAAAACTTTTTTGATCGGCTTAATCCCATTCTGTATCAACTAGTTTGATGGAACCCTTATGCGGTAAATATGTGAACAATTATATTATTGATAATAATATATTGTAGGTTTTTATTTATTCATTTAAAATTTTACCGTTGCACTCTATTTAGTTTCGTCTGTCTCAAAGGTTGTCTGGAACAGATTGCTCTTAGCGGTAAAGCCGGTTTTGCTCTCGTTAGTTCTAAAATGTGTACGTACCGTTTTTGCTTTTGTGTGTAAGCAATAAAGTATATCCGAACTATTTATCTATAGATTTATTACGCGGCAAAAACAATACGAGGAGGCTACACCAACGAGAGGTTGGCTTTTAAATAAAAAACAATAGGTTTTGAGTTCTTAGGTTTTCGCGATTGTTACACATAGGAAATGAAACTATTTTTCCGGATTTAAATCGCGTATATTTGTTTTTTCAAACAAACCGACGTTTCGGGCCCTTTACAGATTTTGTATTTAATTTTGTCAACAAATTTATGAAATTTTACAGGTCCCATGGTCACCATGGGACCTGTAGAGGGCCCGAAACGTCGGTTTGTTTGAAAAAACAAATATACGCGATTGAAATCCGGAAAAATAGTTTCATTTCCAATAGGTTTTGAATTTAGAATTTAAATTTTAAAATCTATTTTTTTTATTTTCATTAGAATTTTGAAGTCTTTATGCGACACCGTTTTATGCATTTTTTACTTATTATACGCTATGTATGTTATAATTTTAAAATTTAGTTCCACCCTCACCGTTCCTCCTTCGGTCGACTAGAAGGTCCGGAGCACTCCATTCTTATGTCGTTGATATTCCACCTATTCGCACTAAGCGCTTTGCTTCCTCCTTTCTGATGCGTACGACAAAGGAATGGAATGCTCTGCATCTGTAAACCTGTATTTCCCGAAAAGTACAATTTGGGGCTGTTCAAGGCAAGAGTGAAGACGTATTTTTTAGGTTATCGCGTCTCATCGTCGGTCACATCGTCGCTTAACATCAGGTGAGATTGTGGCCAAGCGTGTGTCTATTAAATGTTAAAAAAAAAATTAAAAATATTGAAAAGTCGAGGGCTCTTATAACTCTTTCAACAGATTAAACTTAAAATAACTCCACTTGTTAGGTAGCGGTGAGAAGGTTATTCAAAAATCTTTCACTAGATGTCGTTAGCGGCGGCGAATACCGAAAGCCAGTACAAAGATCTATATCAAAAACACATGAGAATTTCGACTACTTGGTAACTGAACCCGCTCAGTTGGTAAAGAGCAATGCTACGGTGCAGCACGGATGTGTGTTCGATCTTTCTATTGATAAAAATAGATTCAGTCTTAATTACAATTATTAAAGCGACATTTTCAGTCAACTGCTGATGGCTGTAAAGGTACGTGGCTGAGTGAAGAAATATATTTCTCACAGATGGCGCTACGTCAAAAAAGTCGTTAAAAAACCAAAACAAAGATTTGCAACAAGCACACAGAAAAATTTGTAAGGACCACTGGTTCATTGTTGACATAGCATCTGGCAGGGTTTGCTAGAAGACGTTGGTTCTAATCCAGCCGGATCGAATGAATTTTTTCTAAATTAAATATTTGCATGAATAATTAGATTCATTTTATTATTTCATCTACGTATTTCTTACTCGCTAATCACACTTAATCGCTCTTTGTAGCGACTGTACTTGTTTAAGAAAACAAAGGTTAAATTTAATGAGATTCAAATAAAGTGGGTTGCGAAATGTTTTCATTTACATTTGCTTATTTTCTCCGGCAGTTAAGAACGTAAACCTGTGAACTCACAATTTATAATTACTTCAAACAAAGGTATCTGGGATGTGGGTGAAAATGTTATCGTAAATTTTCTTCACGTAAAAATTCTAATGAAAATAAAAAAGTAGATTTTAAAATTTAAATTCGAAACCTATTGTTTTTTATTTAAAAGCCACCCTACCGTTGGTGTAGCCTCCTCGTATTGTTTTTGCTGCGTACTAAATCTATAGATAGGTAGTTTAGATACACTTTATTGCTTACACAGAAAAGCAAAAACGGTACGTACACATTTTAGAACTAATGAAACCAAAACCGGCCTTACCGCTAAGAGCAATCTCTTCCAGACAACCTTTGAGGCCGAGGAAACTAAATAGAGTGCCAACATTTTTAATGAATAAATAAAAATCTACATTATATTATTATCAATAATATAATTGTTCACATATTTACCGCATGAGGGTTCCATCAAACTTGTTGATACAGGATGGGATTGAGTCGATCAAAAAAGTTTTATAAGTCTATAGATAGGATAGGAAGGAAAGATATTAAATCGC